TGCTGCGCCTGGAGGTACTTTGTCTTCTGGAGGTCCTCCGGGTGTCTTGTCACGGCGGGAGACATTCTCTCCACCGCAGCTGCGCGAGTGGTTTGCTCGGCGCTGGAGACTTCAGAGTGGCACTGATGGAGCCGGTGGTGTTCCTGGTGCTGGTGCTGCTGGAGGTGCTGGCGCCGCTGGTCCCGGAGGTGCTCGTTCTGGAGGTACTGGAGCTGCTGGAGCTGGAGGTGCTACTGGAGCTGGAGCTGCTGGAGGTGCTGGCGCCGCTGGTCCCGGAGGTGCTCGTACTGGAGGTTCTGGAGCTGCTGGAGCTGGAGGTGCTGCTGGAGCTTGTGCTGCTCGAGGTGTTGGCGCCGCTGGTCCCGGAGGTGCTCGTACTGGAGGTACTAGAGCTGCAGGAGCTGGAGGTGCTGCTGGAGCTAGAGCTGTTGGAGGTGCTGGAGCCGTTGGTCCTGGAAGTGCTCGTACTGGAGGTACTGGAGCTGCTGGAGCTGGGGGTGCTGCTGGAGCTAGAGCTGCTGGAGGTACTGGAGCTACTGGAGCCGCTGGTCCCGGAGGTGCTCGTACTGGAGGTACTGGAGCTGCTGGCGCTGGGAGTGCTACTGGAGCTGGAGCCGGAGGTGCTGCTGGAGCTGGAGCTGCTGGAGCTGGCGGTGCTGCAAGAGTTGGAGCTGGAGCCGCTGGAGCTGGAGCTGGAGCTGGTGGAGGTGCTGTCCCTGGGGGTGCTGGTGCTATCGGTGCTGGTTCTGGAGGTACTGTGCGGCCGCGACCGTACTTCGTTCCTCTGCTTCAGCAGGTTCTTGGTCTCCCTCCTTCTACTGGCCTTACTCCTCCCTTACTGTGTCCACCGCCTGACCAGTCCCATCCGCAGTTACAGCCAGCCTCCCCGCTGCCTGCTCCGTCTCCTTACACTGAGCAGCCCGGAGGTCTTACAGAGCGTCGTGAGCCTGCGTCTTGTCCTGCGTCGCCTGTTCGCGCTGTTTGCACTGATCGTCGTGTTCCGCGCCAGCGTCCTCCTCCTGTCCCCGGCACACATTAGATGGCACTTCGTCCTTCCTCTGTTCCACTGTGTGTCCCTCTGCCGTCTCCTCCTGCGTCCTCCCTTGTTGACGGTCCGGACCCAGAGTTTGGCTCCCTTTGTGCTGCTAGTCCTAAAAGAAAAAAAAAAAGAATAAACAAAAATTTATTCTTGTACGGACTTACCTGGTCGTAAATCTTTATGAATTTGTTTAAAACAGGTATGTACGGACTTACATGGTCGAAATCCGTGGTTCAAAGAATAATACTGTGATTCAAAAGTGATTTCTAATAAAATTCGAATAACTTCGTATTCCGTAGACTCAAAAGAGAACTTTTGGAAACCCAGCTGGGATATAGTCTCCATCAGATACCCCTTCCGTATTGAGCCGTACGCTTTCTCGAAATCCACCATCATGAGGTACCAGTCCTTATCAGCGTTCTTGGCCACATCTATCAGGTCTACCACCGTCGATACCGCATCAGCAGCCTCCTCCCGGGTAAGAAGCCATACTGCTCCTCCGAGATGACCTGATTCAGCACCGGCTTCATTCTTGTCGCCACCACTTTCGCCAATATCTTATAAATACTCGTTAATAATGTTATCGGCCTGTAATTCTTGATGTCTGACTCCGCGCCTTTCTTGTGCAGCAGAACAGTAACAGCCTCGTTCGCCACCGCCGGCAGCTTGCCTGTACTGACAAACTCCTTTACCATCATCATCACCGGTCTTTTCAGCACCCCCAAGTGACGCTAGAACACTTCCTTCGGTAGGCCGTCCCTTCACGGAAACTTGTCATTTGCCAATTCTCTGATCGCCATCCGTACCTCTTCCTCCGTCCAGTCCAGCTCCAGCGACGCTGCAAACGCCTCTTCCAATACCCTTCTCGGTGTCCACTGCAGCTCCGGTGCACCCCCCGCCAGCCCGGAGGAGTCATCAACCGCGCTACTGCAATGTTGTGACGCCGCCTCCAGGATCGCCTTCGCATCGGTGTGGCTGAACTCGTCCTTAACTAGCTCTTTAATGCACACCTTAGCCTTCCTGCTCTTGATGAGCGCAGACAGGTAACTCGTCGGAGCTTCTCCGCACAACTGGACCTTGAGTCCAGTTCTCAACTCTAGGAGTGCCTTCCGGCCGTCCCTGTACCTCCTCAGCATCGCCTGCCGACTTGTAAGCACCGCTTGTAAGTTATCGTCGCCCGGATTAGCCATTGCCTTCTGCTGCAGCATCCCCACCTGTTCTTCCAACGCATTCCGCATCCGCTTGACACGCTTTTTCTCCTATATGTCGTATTTCCTCAGACGGGCACCCAGGCGCCTTGACAGTTTGTCGAAATCGCCGCTCCCTTCTTCCTCACGCCGCTGGACCACCTCCGCAATTGCCGCCGACACTCTAGGTCGCTTCAACAATTTCGCCAAAAAAGTCCAAGTCCCCGGACCAGTCTCTTGCGGCCCGGACCAACACAGCTTCAACCTGACCCCGCACTTATGGTCTGTGATCTCCTGCGGCAGCGGCTGGTAAGAGACCTTCGCCGCCTGATGCACCAATGCTTGCGACACCAAGATTCTGTCTATCCTCGAACTGACCAATGCCGACTTGCAGAAGAAGGTGAACTCCCTCTCGTCCAGCCTCAGCTCCCTGAATACGTCTGCAACATGAAAATCAGCCAGCAACTGCTTCATCCTAACATTGTCCCCTGTCACTCCTCGCCTGTTCGACTTATCTAGGATGGGGTCCTCTATCATATTCAAGTCCCCTGCCATCACCAACTGCTCCCCTCTCGGCAACCCCGCAGCAAACTCATTAAAATCAAGACTTAGGAAACTTCCCCGAGAGGCCGCCTGTGAGGGGAAATAAGCCGCCAGCAGCCTTAACTGTCGCGTACCCCAGCACAGCCTAGCATGAAGCAGTTGTCCCGATGGGTGCCGTTGAATGTCTTCCAGCGCTACCCCTTCCCGAAAGCAGAGAATCGCCACCCCTCTTGCCCTTGTTGGGGCTCCTGCCGCTACCACACTGTGGGGGCAGAGCTCCGTCCAGAAATTGTGATCTTTTGCAATACGTGTGTCTGCTAGAATTACCACGCCTGCTTTCGCTTTTAATCACCGCTTCAGTTCTTGCCACTTCCCCTGGTTCCCTAAACCGTTGATGTTCAGGGACAGAAAAGTTAGCTGGTTGGTGTTACTCATTGGACAACTCTGTTGAAGCCCCCAGTCATCCACAGGGCGGTGTTACAGCATGACAAGTTATCACTACTCTGCATGGGCCACAACAAGCTACTAAAGCTCCAAGACTTAATCCCCACGCTTGACCTCTCCCGATCTGTGTCATTGCATCCAGCTACCACAGGTACCGCACTACGGGTCACACACTGAACTCCTTCTTTGCCACGACAAGGTTGACACCTGCCTTTGAGTTGCGCGTCGCACAACCGGACACCAGGCTGTCGCTGTGCCTCTGACAGACAACATGCTCCGTAGCTTGAGCGAAAGTACCACCACTCGCTTTCTCGCAGTTCTCCTGTACGCATATCCATTCCTCGCGGTTCCCCCAGTCGATATCAACACCACAGCTGGGTCCTTCAATATCAGCCTAGTCAGATCTATGATCCTGACTGAGGCAGCTGCGCGGAGTCGGCACACCCACAACATTAGCACTACACCACCAAAAAAATGGCAAGCAGATGCGAGACAGGTAAGTGATGCCCAAAAACCCCCTTTTATCATTGATCCCATGGACCCGCCCCAAAAACAGGCTCCAGTTGCTGATGTTGTTCTGCGGTCTGTCACGTACTCGTCATGGAACCTCGTCATGTGGTACCCTGAGTAGTAAACACATCTCAGAGAGGGGTAGTGCACCAGCAGTTGCTTATCATGTGAGGTCGGGACCTCGATCAGATAACACCAGCGATATTTGTCCCCCACGTGCTGCTTAACCAGACCCTTGCATGTCTGTGTCCATCCCTGTAACAGGATTCACGACCCGACGAAAATAGCAACCCTCCTTGAAATCCGACCGTCCGCGCTTCTCCAGCTTCACCTTGACCAACATATTGCTCAGCATCTCCGGTGTGATCACCGCGTCCACACCCTTAAACAGTACTTCAACCAGCAGCGGGTTTGCAGCACGTGCCTTTACATAGGCCGGGTCCCCCGGGTGCTGCCAGTCCAAGTTGATACGCTTCCCGTCAACGCAGGTATGCACAATCCCGTGCTTCCACACAAAGTTGGCATCCCGAGCCCGCTTGAAGGTGACCTGCAGCCTACAGTATTGCTTCTTGTTCAAAAACAGCGCCATCAGCTCCTGAAACTTCGTTGTTGCCTGAATCTCCATGTTCAGATCCTTCTTCCACAAGTTGAAGAGTGCGCGTAGCATCGCCTGCACCCACGTGGCCTCCAACTTGAAGGCGATCGGGATCAGCAGGACAATGGCGAAGCAAACCCGCTGCGCGAATTCGCTCTTTTCCTGCGCATCGTAATGCTCCTCGGGATCATCGCCGAGGTAGCCATCATCTTCCTCATTGCATTATGTAGTGTAACATTTCTCTTGGTGTAGGCCATTGTGGTCGCTAGTTTCGAGAACCTTCAAGGTTGGGGACTGTGTGGCACTGTTCCATATCTCCGACTGCTCCCCTGCAGACTCTCCACCTGGACGTGTGGGGCCCAGCCCGCGTCCGTGGACAGGGCCACGAGCGGTACTTTCTGCTGGTTGTCGACAACTACATGCGTTACACCACGGTCTTCCCCTTGCGCCGCAAGGGGGAGGTCCTTGATGTTTTGATCCCTTGGATCCGCGTTGTTCGCCTCCAGCTCTGCGAGCGGTTTGAGACGGACCTTCCCGTCCTTCGTCTGCACTCTGACAGAGGTGGTGAGTTTTCCTCAGACCTCTTGAGGGACTTTTGTCGTGGGGAGGGCATTCGCCAGACGTTCACGTTCCGGCCTCTCCGCAGCAGAATGGGGTTGCTGAGCGCCGCATTGGCTTAGTCATGGAGGTCCGCTCGTACATCCATGATCCATGCGGCTGCCCCCCATTTTCTGTGGCCGTTTGCGGTCCGGTACGCTGCGCATCAGCTCAACCTCTAGCCCCGTGCTCCTTGCGTTGGACGGGAGAGGTTGGCGATGCGTCGGTGTTCAGGGTCTGGGGATGTCGAGCCTTTGTCCACGATACGTCCGCGGACAAGCTCTCCTCCCGCGCCGTTCCCTGTGTCTTCCTTGGCTTACCCCCTGACACGCCTGTCTGGCAGTTTTACCACCCCACCTCGCGCCGTGTCCTGCCCTCTCAGGACGTCACGTTTGACGAGTCGGTTCCCTTTTACCGTCTCTTCCCCTACCGCACTGCCCCTCTCCCTCCCCCGCCACTCTTCCTCGCACCAGGTCCTCCTCCGGTAGACCCCCTCCCCCCTCAGGGTCCTGCTCCCTCGGGTGTGTCCCAGGTAGACCCCGTCGAGCTTGTCGAGGTAGCTGTCGACTCTGGTGCTGCTAGGGGCACTGCGTCTGGGGGTGCTGAGCCTGCGGGTGTGGGACCTGGGGGTGCTGAGCATGGGGTTGCTGAGCCTGGGGGTGCGGAGCCTGGGGGTGCTGAGCCTGGGGTTGCTCAGTCTGAGGGTGCGGAGCCTGGGGGTGCTGAGCTTGAGCGTGCGGAGCCTGGGGGTGCTGAGCATGAGCGTGCGGAGCCTGGGGGTGCTGAGCCTGAGCGTGCTGAGCCTGGGGGTGCTGAGCCTGAGCGTGCTGCGCCTGGAGGTACTTTGTCTTCTGGAGGTCCTCCGGGTGTCTTGTCACGGCGGGAGACATTCTCTCCACCGCAGCTGCGCGAGTGGTTTGCTCGGCGCTGGAGACTTCAGAGTGGCACTGATGGAGCCGGTGGTGTTCCTGGTGCTGGTGCTGCTGGAGGTGCTGGCGCCGCTGGTCCCGGAGGTGCTCGTTCTGGAGGTACTGGAGCTGCTGGAGCTGGAGGTGCTACTGGAGCTGGAGCTGCTGGAGGTGCTGGCGCCGCTGGTCCCGGAGGTGCTCGTACTGGAGGTTCTGGAGCTGCTGGAGCTGGAGGTGCTGCTGGAGCTTGTGCTGCTCGAGGTGTTGGCGCCGCTGGTCCCGGAGGTGCTCGTACTGGAGGTACTAGAGCTGCAGGAGCTGGAGGTGCTGCTGGAGCTAGAGCTGTTGGAGGTGCTGGAGCCGTTGGTCCTGGAAGTGCTCGTACTGGAGGTACTGGAGCTGCTGGAGCTGGGGGTGCTGCTGGAGCTAGAGCTGCTGGAGGTACTGGAGCTACTGGAGCCGCTGGTCCCGGAGGTGCTCGTACTGGAGGTACTGGAGCTGCTGGCGCTGGGAGTGCTACTGGAGCTGGAGCCGGAGGTGCTGCTGGAGCTGGAGCTGCTGGAGCTGGCGGTGCTGCAAGAGTTGGAGCTGGAGCCGCTGGAGCTGGAGCTGGAGCTGGTGGAGGTGCTGTCCCTGGGGGTGCTGGTGCTATCGGTGCTGGTTCTGGAGGTACTGTGCGGCCGCGACCGTACTTCGTTCCTCTGCTTCAGCAGGTTCTTGGTCTCCCTCCTTCTACTGGCCTTACTCCTCCCTTACTGTGTCCACCGCCTGACCAGTCCCATCCGCAGTTACAGCCAGCCTCCCCGCTGCCTGCTCCGTCTCCTTACACTGAGCAGCCCGGAGGTCTTACAGAGCGTCGTGAGCCTGCGTCTTGTCCTGCGTCGCCTGTTCGCGCTGTTTGCACTGATCGTCGTGTTCCGCGCCAGCGTCCTCCTCCTGTCCCCGGCACACATTAGATGGCACTTCGTCCTTCCTCTGTTCCACTGTGTGTCCCTCTGCCGTCTCCTCCTGCGTCCTCCCTTGTTGACGGTCCGGACCCAGAGTTTGGCTCCCTTTGTGCTGCTAGTCCTAAAAGAAAAAAAAAAAGAATAAACAAAAAGTTATTCTTGTACGGACTTACCTGGTCGTAAATCTTTATGAATTTGTTTAAAACAGGTATGTACGGACTTACATGGTCGAAATCCGTGGTTCAAAGAATAATACTGTGATTCAAAAGTGATTTCTAATAAAATTCGAATAACTTCGTATTCCGTAGACTCAAAAGAGAACTTTTGGAAACCCAGCTGGGATATAGTCTCCATCAGATACCCCTTCCGTATTGAGCCGTACGCTTTCTCGAAATCCACCATCATGAGGTACCAGTCCTTATCAGCATTCTTGGCCACATCTATCAGGTCTACCACCGTCGATACCGCATCAGCAGCCTCCTCCCGGGTAAGAAGCCATACTGCTCCTCCGAGATGACCTGATTCAGCACCGGCTTCATTCTTGTCGCCACCACTTTCGCCAATATCTTATAAATACTCGTTAATAATGTTATCGGCCTGTAATTCTTGATGTCTGACTCCGCGCCTTTCTTGTGCAGCAGAACAGTAACAGCCTCGTTCGCCACCGCCGGCAGCTTGCCTGTACTGACAAACTCCTTTACCATCATCATCACCGGTCTTTTCAGCACCCCCAAGTGACGCTAGAACACTTCCTTCGGTAGGCCGTCCCTTCACGGAAACTTGTCATTTGCCAATTCTCTGATCGCCATCCGTACCTCTTCCTCCGTCCAGTCCAGCTCCAGCGACGCTGCAAACGCCTCTTCCAATACCCTTCTCGGTGTCCACTGCAGCTCCGGTGCACCCCCCGCCAGCCCGGAGGAGTCATCAACCGCGCTACTGCAATGTTGTGACGCCGCCTCCAGGATCGCCTTCGCATCGGTGTGGCTGAACTCGTCCTTAACTAGCTCTTTAATGCACACCTTAGCCTTCCTGCTCTTGATGAGCGCAGACAGGTAACTCGTCGGAGCTTCTCCGCACAACTGGACCTTGAGTCCAGTTCTCAACTCTAGGAGTGCCTTCCGGCCGTCCCTGTACCTCCTCAGCATCGCCTGCCGACTTGTAAGCACCGCTTGTAAGTTATCGTCGCCCGGATTAGCCATTGCCTTCTGCTGCAGCATCCCCACCTGTTCTTCCAACGCATTCCGCATCCGCTTGACACGCTTTTTCTCCTATATGTCGTATTTCCGCAGACGGGCACCCAGGCGCCTTGACAGTTTGTCGAAATCGCCGCTCCCTTCTTCCTCACGCCGCTGGACCACCTCCGCAATTGCCGCCGACACTCTAGGTCGCTTCAACAATTTCGCCAAAAAAGTCCAAGTCCCCGGACCAGTCTCTTGCGGCCCGGACCAACACAGCTTCAACCTGACCCCGCACTTATGGTCTGTGATCTCCTGCGGCAGCGGCTGGTAAGAGACCTTCGCCGCCTGATGCACCAATGCTTGCGACACCAAGATTCTGTCTATCCTCGAACTGACCAATGCCGACTTGCAGAAGAAGGTGAACTCCCTCTCGTCCAGCCTCAGCTCCCTGAATACGTCTGCAACATGAAAATCAGCCAGCAACTGCTTCATCCTAACATTGTCCCCTGTCACTCCTCGCCTGTTCGACTTATCTAGGATGGGGTCCTCTATCATATTCAAGTCCCCTGCCATCACCAACTGCTCCCCTCTCGGCAACCCCGCAGCAAACTCATTAAAATCAAGACTTAGGAAACTTCCCCGAGAGGCCGCCTGTGAGGGGAAATAAGCCGCCAGCAGCCTTAACTGTCGCGTACCCCAGCACAGCCTAGCATGAAGCAGTTGTCCCGATGGGTGCCGTTGAATGTCTTCCAGCGCTACCCCTTCCCGAAAGCAGAGAATCGCCACCCCTCTTGCCCTTGTTGGGGCTCCTGCCGCTACCACACTGTGGGGGCAGAGCTCCGTCCAGAAATTGTGATCTTTTGCAATACGTGTGTCTGCTAGAATTACCACGCCTGCTTTCGCTTTTAATCACCGCTTCAGTTCTTGCCACTTCCCCTGGTTCCCTAAACCGTTGATGTTCAGGGACAGAAAAGTTAGCTGGTTGGTGTTACTCATTGGACAACTCTGTTGAAGCCCCCAGTCATCCACAGGGCGGTGTTACAGCATGACAAGTTATCACTACTCTGCATGGGCCACAACAAGCTACTGAAGCTCCAAGACTTAATCCCCACGCTTGACCTCTCCCGATCTGTGTCATTGCATCCAGCTACCACAGGTACCGCACTACGGGTCACACACCGAACTCCTTCTTTGCCACGACAAGGTTGACACCTGCCTTTGAGTTGCGCGTCGCACAACCGGACACCAGGCTGTCGCTGTGCCTCTGACAGACAACATGCTCCGTAGCTTGAGCGAAAGTACCACCACTCGCTTTCTCGCAGTTCTCCTGTACGCATATCCATTCCTCGCGGTTCCCCCAGTCGATATCAACACCACAGCTGGGTCCTTCAATATCAGCCTAGTCAGATCTATGATCCTGACTGAGGCAGCTGCGCGGAGTCGGCACACCCACAACATTAGCACTACACCACCAAAAAAATGGCAAGCAGATGCGAGACAGGTAAGTGATGCCCAAAAACCCCCTTTTATCATTGATCCCATGGACCCGCCCCAAAAACAGGCTCCAGTTGCTGATGTTGTTCTGCGGTCTGTCACGTACTCGTCATGGAACCTCGTCATGTGGTACCCTGAGTAGTAAACACATCTCAGAGAGGGGTAGTGCACCAGCAGTTGCTTATCATGTGAGGTCGGGACCTCGATCAGATAACACCAGCGATATTTGTCCCCCACGTGCTGCTTAACCAGACCCTTGCATGTCTGTGTCCATCCCTGTAACAGGATTCACGACCCGACGAAAATAGCAACCCTCCTTGAAATCCGACCGTCCGCGCTTCTCCAGCTTCACCTTGACCAACATATTGCTCAGCATCTCCGGTGTGATCACCGCGTCCACACCCTTAAACAGTACTTCAACCAGCAGCGGGTTTGCAGCACGTGCCTTTACATAGGCCGGGTCCCCCGGGTGCTGCCAGTCCAAGTTGATACGCTTCCCGTCAACGCAGGTATGCACAATCCCGTGCTTCCACACAAAGTTGGCATCCCGAGCCCGCTTGAAGGTGACCTGCAGCCTACAGTATTGCTTCTTGTTCAAAAACAGCGCCATCAGCTCCTGAAACTTCGTTGTTGCCTGAATCTCCATGTTCAGATCCTTCTTCCACAAGTTGAAGAGTGCGCGTAGCATCGCCTGCACCCACGTGGCCTCCAACTTGAAGGCGATCGGGATCAGCAGGACAATGGCGAAGCAAACCCGCTGCGCGAATTCGCTCTTTTCCTGCGCATCGTAATGCTCCTCGGGATCATCGCCGAGGTAGCCATCATCTTCCTCATTGCATTATGTAGTGTAACATTTCTCTTGGTGTAGGCCATTGTGGTCGCTAGTTTCGAGAACCTTCAAGGTTGGGGACTGTGTGGCACTGTTCCATATCTCCGACTGCTCCCCTGCAGACTCTCCACCTGGACGTGTGGGGCCCAGCCCGCGTCCGTGGACAGGGCCACGAGCGGTACTTTCTGCTGGTTGTCGACAACTACATGCGTTACACCACGGTCTTCCCCTTGCGCCGCAAGGGGGAGGTCCTTGATGTTTTGATCCCTTGGATCCGCGTTGTTCGCCTCCAGCTCTGCGAGCGGTTTGAGACGGACCTTCCCGTCCTTCGTCTGCACTCTGACAGAGGTGGTGAGTTTTCCTCAGACCTCTTGAGGGACTTTTGTCGTGGGGAGGGCATTCGCCAGACGTTCACGTTCCGGCCTCTCCGCAGCAGAATGGGGTTGCTGAGCGCCGCATTGGCTTAGTCATGGAGGTCCGCTCGTACATCCATGATCCATGCGGCTGCCCCCCATTTTCTGTGGCCGTTTGCGGTCCGGTACGCTGCGCATCAGCTCAACCTCTAGCCCCGTGCTCCTTGCGTTGGACGGGAGAGGTTGGCGATGCGTCGGTGTTCAGGGTCTGGGGATGTCGAGCCTTTGTCCACGATACGTCCGCGGACAAGCTCTCCTCCCGCGCCGTTCCCTGTGTCTTCCTTGGCTTACCCCCTGACACGCCTGTCTGGCAGTTTTACCACCCCACCTCGCGCCGTGTCCTGCCCTCTCAGGACGTCACGTTTGACGAGTCGGTTCCCTTTTACCGTCTCTTCCCCTACCGCACTGCCCCTCTCCCTCCCCCGCCACTCTTCCTCGCACCAGGTCCTCCTCCGGTAGACCCCCTCCCCCCTCAGGGTCCTGCTCCCTCGGGTGTGTCCCAGGTAGACCCCGTCGAGCTTGTCGAGGTAGCTGTCGACTCTGGTGCTGCTAGGGGCACTGCGTCTGGGGGTGCTGAGCCTGCGGGTGTGGGACCTGGGGGTGCTGAGCATGGGGTTGCTGAGCCTGGGGGTGCGGAGCCTGGGGGTGCTGAGCCTGGGGTTGCTCAGTCTGAGGGTGCGGAGCCTGGGGGTGCTGAGCTTGAGCGTGCGGAGCCTGGGGGTGCTGAGCATGAGCGTGCGGAGCCTGGGGGTGCTGAGCCTGAGCGTGCTGAGCCTGGGGGTGCTGAGCCTGAGCGTGCTGCGCCTGGAGGTACTTTGTCTTCTGGAGGTCCTCCGGGTGTCTTGTCACGGCGGGAGACATTCTCTCCACCGCAGCTGCGCGAGTGGTTTGCTCGGCGCTGGAGACTTCAGAGTGGCACTGATGGAGCCGGTGGTGTTCCTGGTGCTGGTGCTGCTGGAGGTGCTGGCGCC